ACTTACTTGTTCAGCAGTTCGACATACAGAGACACAGACCCTGTGCTACTGGCACCACGGGATGCGTTGGTCATTTTTTGAACAGCATCTGCAATTTTTTGTGCTCTCTTCAGGCAAAGCACAACCCTGTTCTCATTTCATAAGATTTGTTTTAGTTAGAATTGCCGAGTCTCCCCAACACAAACGACTAAATTATCACTATGCCTCAGATTTCCACCCTTCATAATTGTGTATCCTTCCCAATCTTAACTTTCAAGATTTAGTGTATTCATACCTCTCTCCATCTTTCAGATTCTCGCCTTCCTCAACCCAATAAAGATGCGCACATTCGTAAACAGCCCTGCACTGATCTGGCTTCTTAAGGAGTTTTGCAGAGTACTACAACAACAAAATACAATGTAGCCTTTGTTATTAGTCAATGCAACACTCACTAAGTCCACTAGAATGTAAGGAAAGATACCCCAGTCGCCTTTTGAGTCAAAATATCTCTGTTCTCCACATTAAATACACGCATCCGCTGGAGTGTCCCTATTATTAATCGTAGTGCTGTTACTTGTGCCTTTGAATCCTACAACACCCAAAATTTAAGGCCCTTGTCAATGTCTTCCTTAAAGAAATGCTTGTAGACTCGTAAAAATTCACTTACTGAAATTTCTTCTTCATACAGAAGGTATGCCTTTGTGAAGAACTCATATGCAACTGTTTCTAATTCACAGTCATTTGCTGCCTGTGGATTCAAAAAACTTTCAACTCATTCACTATATATAAAGGTTTTTTTGATACGGGATGATCATAAGCTAAACGATCATATACCTGAGCACATTGCAAATAGAGTCGCAATGCCAACTCAGATGCCGAAACATCAGATAGAACTTCCACGGTCTGAAAAAAAAAAAAAAGAGATTCAAAATCGACTCACATCATTCTTCCAAAGAAATACAAATGGTTTTCACTGGGACAACACTACTTGAAGCTCGCGAGACAATTAAACTTTCCTCGCTCTTTTCTAACAATCAAGATGTATGTACATACACTGACCTCAGTTAAGAGCTGTAGAATTTTCTGTGGCGTTGACGTGTCATCTCCAAATGGGTTTTCATCTCCACCTCGCAGTCGCCTAATTAACTGCGCAAGCATATTATATCAACTCAACTCCTTCCAAATGTTAGACATAACGATAATACCTTCTCTAGTAAGAGAATAGAGTGAATAACTGATCACATAAAGAAAGACAAACCTTGAGAGCAGAAAATACAAGGGGTGGTATCGTAAGAGGTAGACGCTTAGGTCCTCCAGTCAAGATATGCTTCCTTACTCTGAAAATTATCTGTAGTTGGGCATATGAATTAGGAATTGCAGACAAAGTTCCATTGATAGCGCCTCTGATGTATAGCATATAAATTTATACACACCTTAGACATTTCTTCTGGATCATCATTGTAAAGAAAGTGAACCAACCGTGCAACAGAGTTCTGTTCTTCCTGGAAATCTTCTTCATCAACCTAGAACTCAACATAGAAACCATGTCGGGTACAAGAACAGGTAAGTTATCGAAAGAAAAATTGACTATAATACTGTGAAGACGAATACAATAAGGATTGACCAAAAAAGAGATTAAATACCTCATCATTATCAGTTAGCCCGTCAAAATCCTTGATAAGTCCCTTTATCAGTTCAAACAATGCGTCAACCTGCAAAACGCAATAAAGAAACGTCAAATCAGTAGAGAATGCTGAAAGAAGAAGCTAAATAATAGAAAAGCACACCTCATCAGCAGTAGCAATGCGAGTATCGTTTTTCAAAATACTCTGAATTATAATAATTGCCATTGCTTTGTTTGTATCGTGGTCAAGGTATTCCATTACTCGAGGATAGTTGGTAAGCTTCAAAATAGTTACAACATCATTATACTTCTCCAATGGAGCGCTAAGAAATGCAACGATCTGTTTTGATGCCTTGTCATCACAAAGTTTTCCTGTGGCAGAGAGTTGGCTAACACAAGATCCCTGAAAAAATATGAAAAGAGAGACAACGAAGTGTTTTAGCAACTTGAAGAATTGATTAAATAGACACAAAACGTAAATCTTAATAAACTTAACACGCTTATACATGCTCGGAAGGTTTTATACCAAAACTTGGTCCACATAGTCTAGACGATCGGAATGGACATGGAGAGTGAATTTCAGAAGAAACAAATACAATGTTACAGATGCTGAAGCCGAAAGGTCCACCTGTGCTTCTACAACCTAATCATACATAAGATATAGACTCAGTCAACTTCTTATGAAATAACCGTAAAGAGATTATCAGTGTGATACAATCAGAGGGAACTAGCATAAAAATTACACTGTTTAAGAGCTAAAAGTTCATAACAATACCACGGAGATAAAGCTACATGATAAACTTAGGTTTAAGTGTTAGGTTCCTTCAACTTCATGTTAGATGCAGGATTTACCTTCCCAATGGCATCATTCAACTTTGAAAAGGCATCTACTTGCAGGAAATTAGGCAATGCTTCCACACTAGATGCAGCATAGTTCGATAGCCTTTCCATTAGACCCGAAAGGACCGTCTTGATATCAACAGACGGCTGGAAAACACAATGATGAAAAGGAAATATTAAACATATTCTGATGGGAAAAGGTTTATTTAGAAGTATTATGTTTTATCCAATACAGCATATAAAAGAAGAACAGGTAGGTTTACAAGAAGTACCTGAAGTTGTGGACAAGCACCTAATAATACATCGAGAGTTTGAAGGTGAAAGTCATCAGGAAAAACTTGAATAATGCAATCCATTAGGTAGCACTGTGCAAGTTCATCCTTGCAGTTGACAACCTATTACAACAGTGGTACATATTCATTTCCACCAACAAGCAGACGGAAACTCGCATGCTGAAACTATCCAAAGGAAAAGAAAAACCAGACCTGCTCCAGTATTCTAGGAAGAACAGTATCTCTGTAGACTACAAGGTCAACACCTTCCAACTGACCCAGTATATGAAGGTTCTTTCCAACCTAATCAGCAACAGCAAATAGTAAGAACCATAACTCGTCTAGATGAGATAAATCAGCTAAAAGTTACTATCATTACAAGATCACGTAGTTCATTCCTTTCTTTCTCCCGTTTCTCCTTCTCCCTAGCAGGTCCCTAGATACAAGTAAGCCTCGACTCAGTCTCATTTAAGTAGTGAAATTCAGAAAGAGTAGACAACAGCATGACCAAACATTAAAACCATGTTCAGTACATATAATACTGAATCTGAGGGAAATAAACAAATAACCTGATGTTGCATTCGGACCCATAGTTTGTTCATCTCCGTAAAATTTTGAAGCACAAACTCTAAAGCATCCATGCGTGTTTCGGCATCTCTGGAGAGAATTAACAACTCTTCAAAACTGTCCTAAACTAGCAAAAATCATTTAATTAAAAGAGAACTAATTCGTGAGGGCCTCACCCGTCCAACTCTGAACCAATGCTAGGTAGCTTATCCCTAGTGACTTGAGCAAGGTAACTTCTCAAGAAGAGACCACGCAAAGGATGTTGAACAGCTCGGCACATTTCAACAAGATCCTTTAATATATCCTTTGCAGTAACGTCTTTGGATTTGATATATACAGATCCGATGGTACATAGGAGATACCTGAAAATCCAAGTTAATTATTAATGTGTATATATCAATGTTCTAAAAATCAGTCTAGGCGTCCGTCTAAGTTCAAACATCGGTCTGGAGGCCTGCCTAATCAATAATTCCTTATAGATGAACAATGTATACTCCGAGAAAAGACAAAAGGACAATGTATACACCGAGAATGAGATTAAAATGCTTACAATCTTGGCAAAATGTTACCAGCGTGCTGCACAAGCTCGTAAAGCTCAGAAATGGAGCAACCACGCGCAGTCTCATCCCTAAAGAACATCTCTGAGCTCCTCAGCTCATCAGAAGCTCGAATATCTAAACAAATCAGATCGCAAAACAGTTATTCTCTCCCAAAATCGAGAAAAAATGTGAATCGGAAGAAGAAAGATAGATAGCGAGCTAGAGACTCACAGAGTTCATAGTATTTATGAGGAGAAAGCTTGGAAGTACGAAGCTCGCCGAGCATCTGAGCGGAGAACTTAAGCGCGTCTTTGAGGTTGTTAGAGTCCTGAAAAAAAAACGGATCCAGAAGTTAGGCGATTCCGATTCGAGAAAAAAAATTGAGTGAATGGAGAAGATGGATACGATGGCGCGCTGCATGTAGAAGGCATTTTGTTTAACGGCGGATGTGGCGGCAGCGAGCCACTTCTCATCGTCGTCGGCGATCATTCTGTTTCAGTTGTAACTTTTACAGAGAAGAGTCTCAATTTTGACCGAATGGTGAGTCTCTCCGCATTTAATTGTTCCTCTCTTTATCATCATCCATTTAGCCAAACACTTTTTTGATTTAGTTACATAATGACAATTAATTATGTGATCAATTCTGTTTTAATTCATACGCATACATGTTTTTTGAAAGAAATTGTTCTAGAATATATATTTGAATATTTTCTATATGTTTATTTGTCAGCCTTTTCTATATGTTTATTAAATTATACTCCTTATTAATATTATATATGATAAATTTTAAAACAATTAAATTTATTAAATTACTATTAATTTAAAATAACTGAAAACAGTTAACAGAAAAATAATGATCTTATAATTATAAACTAAATTCATTCTATTAATAAGTGTGAAAAATATTTAAAAACTTGTAGATTAAAAACAAGAAGGGATATATAGCATCAAAATATTATATTCCCTCTTTTTCTAAAATATAAATGTTTTAAAATAAAATTTTGTTAAGTTATGTAATTTTTATTAGTTAATGAATTATAATAAAAATTATACTTATTCGAAGATTATTAATTTAAGGTAATTGAAAATAGCTAAACAATGTAATTGCAATCGATTTTAAATGTTTTTAATGTGTGAAACATAAAATAATGCATCATTTTGAAACTGTTTCAAAGGTTGGTAAAACTTCAATTTCTCATGTAAATTCACATCACTCTTTTTGCTCGTGACCATCCCATACAATGATCTGTGACTCTGTGTTATAAAGAGCTTTTGAGAAATGGGATTATCTGACCCCCAAAAAGGAACAAAAAATAAAACAGGATCAAATATAATTAAGACACCATTATTTCTCTTGTTTCTATTCTACTCTTGTCTGCAAAAAACACCAATTCATGCGCATCCCTGACAGCCTCCAATTATGACTTCATAGCATGGATCTGGTGGCAAAGGAGTAACCGTATGCTTGGACTTGGGGATTAGCTTATTATGTCAGTAAATCACTGTAACATTTTCGTCTACACTACTCTCACTAATCACCTTGTCCACCTCTTCGGATCCTAGTCTCAGGTCATGGACTATCTCTTTCAAGTCCACAAGGCCACACCCGGGTACTCTTCCTATTTTTCTCTCCTTCACTATTTCTCTCACACTATCAACATCCTCCCACCGCCCCGCAACACTGTAAACATTCATCAGCAAATGATAATACTTGTAGTTCATAGGATCTTTTTCTATCAGAGACTTGGCAATGCTCTCCCCTAGGGCAGGGTTTCCTGTGAAACGTGTAGAGCTGAGCATGTAAGCCCATTTTGTAGATTCTGGAGTCACATCTTCTTCTGGCAAGTTCCTTAGAATCTCCTCTGCTTCTTCCGAGAAGCCAGCGCTGGAGTAAAGATTAGACATGCACCATAAATGTCCAAAGTTGGGTTTGATCTGAAACTCTTCAACCATCAGGGCGTAATAGCCTTTTCCTTGTGAAAGAAGGCCAGATCTAGCACAACCGCAAAGAACACCAACAAACGTTACTTCATCGGGAATAAGGTCGCCATTGATCATGGCTTCAAATAATTCAAACCCATCTTCAGGAATCCCGTGAAGACAATGTGCCAATATCATCACATTCCACATAACTCTGTTCCTACGTGATACACTATCAAATATCCTACGTGCTAACTCCACTTCCTTGCACTTTCCATACATATCAACAAGAGCTGTATCAACAACCACATTCGAATTCACCAACATTCTTATCAAAGAACCATGAACCGACCTACCTTCCTTAAGCCTAGCTGATCTCCCACAAGCTTTAAGCAACAAAACCAAACTACTCTCATTCCCTCGAAACCCTCCTCCAACCATCTCACGGAACAAACCAATCGAAACTCCGGGATTATTACCACCCAAATAACCATCAATCATAATATTCCAAGAAACCACATTTCTCTCAGGCATTTCATCGAACACCTTGCGAGCAGACCACACATCACCACGTCTCACCAGCCCACCTATCAACGAGTTCCACGACACAATATCTCTCTTAGGCATTTCCACAAACACCTTCTTCGCAAGATCTAAGTCACCACAACAAGTATACATATTCACTAACGAGTTCCCAACAGCCAAAACTTGATCACATCCATGCTTAATAGCCTGCCCGTGACACATTTTACCAGAATCAATCTTCCGAACACAACCAAACAAGGACACAAACGTGTATGAGTCAGGAACAAACCCACATCTCACTACATCAAAGTAAAAGCTCAAAGCTTTATGCGAAATAGAAGAGACCCAAAACGTCTTAAACACGGTATTCGCGTTGTAGACCTTCCCGATGCTGCGAAACACTGAAACGGTGTAGTTAGCGTCACCGAAACGCGAAGAAGACTTCAACAATCTGATGGCCCAAGAGGAGGCCCAGAAGTTTCCGGAGGTGATGAGCCTCGCGTGGACTTGGAAGAGGTGTTCGATGGAATTCGATTGGTCGAGGAGTTTGAAACTTTTGAGGAGGCCGAGAACGGGGGAGGTGGGGTTAGATCTGTATGTGACGAATTGGCGGATAGAAGAAGCTTTTGCCATTCATCTCCAGCTTTGATTCTTGGAGTTGAGTCAGGGGTGGATTCGGAAATCGCCATTAACCAAGGATCATGTCTGTGTTGGACAGTGAGGAACGTCAACGGATTACAGATGTGAAGGAGAACGTAGGCGGCGAAGGAAGGAGAAAGCGTTTAGTGTATGAAAAAAAAAACCTTAAGAGAAACCCTCTGAATCAGCCGGAGACTTTCGGTTTTCCTAACCAAGTCAAATCAATCAATAATCGAAGAACCAAAATAAAAATAAACCGCAAACCGAAAAAGTTGGAATCAAAACGAAATTCGTTACAATCAAAAAGATTTATGTTTTCTTGTACCCTAACTACAAAAACTAACAAAACAGAATGACTACCTAAAATATTAACTATATTTAATTTTGAATAAACTATCTAAAACTATAATTTTATAACAACTCAAATAACTTAATATTTTAGTTGGATTATCCAAAAAATAATCTAACCAAACGGGTCTAGATCTATTTTTTTTTTGGATATTAACTAGTTTATAGTTTTGAATTTTGGTAACCAAAATTAAACTAAACTGTATTTAATAGTAAAATATCATAACAATTCTTATATCTATATACATCTAATTAACGGAAAACCGAAAAACCTGTCAAAATCTAACTAAAAACCGAACACAGAAAATAAAGTATTCAGGAGCATTTATGCAGTTTTTTGTTTGTTTGAAAAGAAGATAGAATAGAATTTAAAAAATGGCGTGATTGGGATAAGGCACCTCACGACCTAACTTTAGTTAAGATTGAGTTACAAAATCATATTACAGACATATAATCTATTTTTAAATCCCAAATTAAGATATGCTAAACCATTTTCTTATATAATCTCTATCCGGATGCGTCTCTTTTGTTAGAATCCAGATATACAGAAACATGTTACTCTATATATACCTAAATGATCGTTTTGATTGGATTACAGAATGTGATTTGCATGCATAAAGAAAAAAGAAAAGAAAAGAGGATACGTAGAGAGAAAGGAGAGAAAAATATAACAAAAGAAGGTGAGAAGTAAAGGTCTTGGTGTTGGTGTGTGAACATAGAGAAAAGGTGTTTCTAACGTACATTGTAATCCATAAAAGAAGATAGGCGTTGCACATCACGCAACAGTGACCAACCTCCTTGTGTTTTGTTCTCTCCAAACACACATAAATTGATCACACGAAGGTGGAGAGAATCCAATACGAAGATGGCTCTTGACAAGTGGCTGGCTTTGCTGTACCCAAGAGTGCAAGGACGAAGAAGAGAGAAAGAGTGTTGCAGTGTGTGTTTGATGAGAATGGAGGAAGAGGATGTGATCAAATCCTTGCCTTGTTCCCATGAGTTTCATAGTCTCTGCGTTGATACGTGGTTCGATGTCAGCCGGAAGATTTGTTGTCCTCTCTGCCGGTTTTCACCGGCTACCATCCTCCTCACCGATGAACTGTTCCTCTGGTTCTCTTCTTTTCATTTCTGATTGTATTCCTGCTTTTCTGGGGATCAAACAAAACACCCTTTTCTCCATGTAATGCCTCTGAACTCTCTTGTAGTACTAGTTTTTTTCTTTCAAGGGGGAACGTGTAAGAATGTTTGATCCCTTGCTGTAAAAAGATACCAAACAAAGCTTCCACCATATGATTCTCTTCTTTATACAAACGCCGTTCCTTTCTGATTCTTAGAAGAAAACAAAACAGAGTTGTTGTTGTACCCAATTGCAACACAGTACAGAGAGACAACTTGTCCCTTTCCTCCTCTCATAACAGCTGAAAAAAGGCAATGTGGATCACATCACATATCAGTGAGGGAAGCAGATATTGGTTTCATGCACTTCCTGTTAGTGTTTTGTTCTGGATATCCCTGGTTATCCACTGTTCCAGCAGGGCCAAGGGCTGTAAATGCATGTATCTCTGTGACCAAAACGTCATATATACTTGCGCCAATAACATCGCCTCCTTAAAGATTAATCCAGCAATATAACACATTAAACAAGCACTAAATCCTCAGCTTAACAGGCTTCAAAGCCGTTCTATAAGGCACATTAACATCTGAACTTGCTGCGTCAAATAAGGTTGGTCAGCTTGGCAAGCTAGATATTTTTTTTTTAATTAAGAACAAGTAATACTTGTGCACTGTTAGCTCAAACACACACATACACATCGTAAGATCTTTCATCTCAGCCTTCAGAAAAAAAAAGTACTTCAAAACTCAGAGTCACTCACTCATATGAAATTCAAATTTAGGCCAGAACTGAAAGAGGTAAGAATTTGAAGTATGCGTTGATCAGGCATGATACAGTAAGACTCAGACTCCAAAAGAGATGATGACTCAAACATAAACAAATGCCTGGACAGAGAATAACATCAAATAAAGCTAACAGGAACCCAACCATCATCACTCATGTGCTGCCGGTTAGTCCAGTCAGCACCTAATATATGTCTTTCCTCACATGTCTCAGCTTATCTATTGAGAGTGTTACTGTCAGGAAAAGTTGGTGGCCCCACAGCACTTGAGATCTCCTCCTAAACTCCTAAGCCCTAAAACCCGTTGTGACTGCAAATGCACATTTCCCCAAATTCGTATTACGGTGAGGAAACCAGACAGGTTGGTTATTACCTTGGTCATAGCTTTGCCTGTTGATGGAAACTTTATGTGCAAAACTCTGGAGCTGAGGGGTTTGTGATACCATCATAAGAGAAACCTCTTTGGTAGGGATTCTATCTCTGGGAGCATTTGTATAATTCTCTAGGTTTAAAAATCAGAGAATCTGTAGACGATCTAAGAGCAACCCCAAGATAAACACATTTGGTGGTGAAAATTACATTATTATCTGTCGAATGAGAAAAATAAAAATAAAAATCAACACAACTAGTAATCTTGCCTCCCAGAAAGACAAATGCATCAAGCAAAAACAAACTAAAATTAGCTATATCGCAAAACTAGAACTAAAGCTATATCGCAAAACTAGAAGACCAAAGCTAAAGACTACTTCAACTGTCACAAGTTACCAAGGGTTCAGATACATTGTATTGAACATAGTTGTACTCCTAGACCACAAAAGGGCCTCATTATTAGGGACTAAAGTCCCACATTGGTTGTTGGAAGGGATCTCTAGTAATATATAAGATAGATGGTCACTCCACTAATCACCAATTGGTTTTAAGTTGGAAGCCCATCTACCTTAATATGGTATCAGAGCCCACGATCCACATAATCCAACCCGATCCTTATCGATCCAGCCTAAAGTCGGCCCATCGATCCTTGCCCGAACATTTCGAGATTGATGCCAAAGAGCCATCATCTCGAGGGGGCGTATTAGGGAGTAAAGTCCCACATTGGTTGTTGGGAGGGATATCTAGTAATATATAAGATAGATGGGTCACTCCACTAATCACCAATTGGTTTTAAGTTGGAAGCCCATCTACCTTAATACTCATATAGCTGGGATTATATCTTATCATCATCACCGTTTAGAACACTAATTCAAAACAAAAGAATCAAATTCAAGAAAACTAATCAACACTGTAAATATAAACTAAAACGAAAGAGCCAGTAACAGGAATCTATAGTGGAGACGACAAGTAATGAAATCAAGAGCTAGGGGAGACTCTGCTCATCTCCTTCTCCATTGTTAGGCCTAGTAAGGATACATAAAAGCTCGGCCCATAGTAAGGCCCAGTAACCTAACCATCCAGATTCTCTTAAGGTTTTGTCAAATTTCCTCTCTTTGGTTTATCGCTTGTTAGGTTTGGTTAAGAAAAAAAAAAAGACGTGTTCTTCCGTTTTGTGTTTAGTAGGTTCTGCCGACGACAGTAACAACCGGTAGATTGGGTTTTTTTATTCCTTTCTCAGGATATGGGCAGAATAAGTGAGTTGCCTGATGAACTGCTTCTTGAGATTTTACTGTTGCTTCCTACAAAAGCTGCTGTATCAACCAGCGTCTTGTCGAAACGGTGGGAGTATCTTTGGATGTGGTTGCCTAAACTCAAGTATGATGGTGGCTTTAGTTGTTCAGAGTCCGAAGCCAAGAGGCTACAATGTTTTCTTGACAGAAATCTGCCATTACATAGAGCTCCGGTTATCGAAAGCTTCAGTCTTACATTCTGTTATACACGTTTTAAATTGGAGGATATTTATATGTTGCTTTTAAAAGCTGTTTCTCTCTGCCTACGTGAGCTTGAGATTCAGTATATGTCTTATCCGGATAAGCCAAACTTGTTGCCGGTTAACTTGTATACCTGCAAATCGCTCGTGGTCTTGAAACGGCTTGGCTCGTTCCTCGTGGATGTTCCTACAATGGTCTCTCTTCCATCTCTCAAAACTTTGCAACTTCATACCGTGAGATACTTCAATGAAGAAACTCTTTCACGGCTTCTATCTAATTGCCCTATTCTTGAAGATCTTGTCGTGCAGTTAGGTGGGGCCGGTGAATCTACGAGAAAGTTGACAGTTGTGGTTCCATCTTTGCAGAGTTTGTCACTCCATATACCCTGTGATAAAAACTCCTTCTTTAACGTATTTCAAACTTAAGGATCGTAGTGTTAATGATCACTACTGTCTGATTGAGAAGATGCCTAACCTGATCAAGGCAGATTTAGATGTTGAACTCCGTGATATCAAAAGTCTTATTGGTTCAATCTTATCTGTCAAGTATCTTTCATTATGTTCAGAGATGATTCATTTTCCCTTTTATCAATTCATTTTTTGTAAATCTTTTGGTCAGTAATTTTGGTAATTGGTATATTGTGTGCATCAGTCTATGATTGATGAAGGTGTTGTCTTCAACCAGCTTGAATATATGAAGGTATGTTTATGCGAAAAGAATTCCTCCAATCAACTTGTACGGCTGCTCAAATCTTCTTCTAACTTACAAGAACTGGACATTTTCTACATGGGTGTAAGTTTTTAAAATTTTTTTTTTTTATGGTGTGATTCACAATCTGGATTTAATTAAATTATTTTTGGTTGATCTCAGGGACATACTATTGAAGTTTACGACTGGAACCAACCAAGTACTGTTCCTCAATGTCTGTTGTCGAGTCTACAAAGTCTCAGCTGCTGGAAGTACACAGGAAAACCAAAAGAGAGAGAGATATTGTGGTTTACATTCTGAAACATGCTCTTCACTTAAAGACTGCAACAATGAAGTCATCTAAATCGGCTGTTCGGAAACATGAGATGTTAAAGGAATTGTCACTTTCTCCTAGAGCTTCATCTACATGCCAACTCCTGTTCAATGAGTACTTCGATCATTAATATTAAGCTTGTTTTTTTCTCAGATTTTGTACTTGCTCGGATTCGTTCGGTTTGTCTTCACCTCTGAAACCCTTTTTTCTACAGTAAGCTTTATTTCTGTATATGTATAAATTAAGACAGGGGAAACCTTGTAACTGAATAAGACCAAAAAACACCCTTTTTTGCTACTGGGTTCAAACAAACAAAAAAGCGCATTGGCGTACTGATTGTATAAAATGTATAAATATGATCATGTTAGTGTGTCTACCCATTTTAGTCTTGGCTGCAGTTGTATCAATTCGATCATGTAACTTCCTTTGGCCTTTCTCTACCTCGTTCTTCTCTTTTCCCCACCAATGTTTACAAGTAAATCACCAAAGAGCAAGAAATAGAGGATTTACATTTTCCCATATAGATCAGATCTGGCAAGACGGAGATACTACTCGGAGAATCGGCTCGACTGATCACCACTTGATCTAGTTTATAGGCGGTTGAAAAAAAAAAACACTAAAGCACTTATTTGGCAACATGGTTTATTATATTCGTCTTCCCGCTGTGTGTTTGTAGCTCGTATAATCACACTAACCACATCCAATCGACTTTGATAGTAATCAGGTCCAGTAAAATGCCCAACACAGCTTCGTAGTTCCAGTGCTCATAGTTGACTATCTTAGGGCATCCCAGTGGCAGTATCTTATAAGGTATTTTCCCATAAAATTAATATAAAAAATTAGCAATGGATCATTCACAAAGACGAATTAGCACCAACAACCTAGGGTAACGCAACATCTTGAACAAGAAAAAAGAACTTCTTAGGTTCTCTAAACACTCTGTAAATCAAGAAAAAGAGGTTTAAGATGTAAAGTAAGAAGCAGATCGTCTGATCACGTGACCACAGAGAAGGAACGTAATGAAGAAATTAGGCTACAATGATGGGTAGAGAGACTACTCGCCGCTGCAGCCGTAAGAAAAGGTAAACACGGGATCTTGTGGCTGGATCCTGTAGAATTCACGAAGCGCTAGAAGAGGATTTTGCCGGTGATTTTTGTTTTATTTTCGTCACTGTTTTATAAAATCGGACCTACCTATCTCCCAGGGACCAGATTTTGACGTGATGTTTGGACCAGTTACATAATCGGATCAAATTTTAAAATTATTGAACCGCATAAAAATTATTAAAAATTTAGTGAATTAAGTAAATAAAAATTTAATTAACATTCATATATATTTAAATCCCAAAGGCTTCAATGATATAACTAGCATAACCATTATGCTCTTTATTATGCAATAAAGATTTATGAGAAAAGCATTTATAATTCTTCTAATTTCAATTTTTTGGATTAATATTATAATTCAATTGAATGGCAAACCAAACCGTGAACCGAAACCAAAACTAAAACTATTACCCATATCAACCGAACAAAACAC